TAATAATAATAATAATAATGGTGATATAAATGAATAAATAAATAAGTTTCATGATATGTTCACATAAAATTGAAAATATTTACTTCACATATCTTTTCAACATTTGTTTTCCTCAATCATTAAAAAGCGGTAAAAATTTTGCTCAATACCAAACTTTCCATCTTATTGTTTGCTATTGTTTTATCAATGGTTGGTAGAAAGCTTATTTGTTATGAAAACAATAATATAACTTCTTATTGCAATTGCATTTTGAAAGTATTGAAATCATTTATAGCTTAGAATTAAAAAACAAAAAAAAGAAAAAAGACTTTGAAATGACAGTTGAATGAAGAAGGTAGAAAAATAGTCTTTTAATTTTTCATAATATTTATTGAAGGATATGTCTATTTCTCTTTTTTTTTACTTTCTTTCCTTTTTGTTTTACATCCTTCCTCTCTTTCTTTCTTTTTTTCCCTCTTTCTCCCTTTCATAATTAATTTCATCGTACTTTGTCATAGATTTTTAAAGACATGTCTCGGAAAAAAGGAAAAAAGAACAAGTTTAATAAGCTGTAAAAAAAAGGGGAAGAAAAAAATGCCTAAGATGAAAAAAAAATAGAAAAAAAAATTAGAAATTGATCCAAATTTCCGTTAACAGTATAATCATAATCAATAACGGAATTAAATTAAAGTAAATTAAAATTTAGTCAGAGATGATTTATATAATATAGGGAAAAGATAAATTCACTTGAGGTATTTTTAAGAAGTGCGAAATACTGGAACATTTTATGTAACATTTTTTTTCCCCCCTGGAGTATAAATCATTTTTTGATTAAAAAATTTATTTGAGGTATTTAAATTATTTAAAAAAATTCAAAATATTGCATACATCTTCAAATAAATAATAAGCAATAAAATTAATGTAATAACATGAAATTAATGGGTAATTTAAATTTAAAAATAATTATTAAACTAAATAAGCGATAAAAACGTGATTTGGAAAAAGTGAAAAAAAAAATTACTTGCCTTATTTATCAAAAACAATGATTTTTACTGCAAGAAAAAAAAAAGCCAATTCAATTTAAATTATTTAATGCAATTCTATCCATTTCTTTACTACACGTCATATCATATACGTGAAAAGTGAAAAAAAGAAAAAAGAAGTTAAATGGTAAGTTAATGAATTAGTATATGTATATATGCATAACTCATTTAGATTATTTTAAAAATTTATCAAGAATTTGAAAAGTATTCACTTTTATTCAAACTCTTTTAAAAAATAGTCAAAAAACGCATATTATTTAAAATTTGATTATAGGTTTAATTTCAGTTTTAATATTCATTTCCATTTGTAAAATCTTTGTAATAATTTAATTCAGAAATTTTAAGATAAATTCAAATTTGTTGTTTGACGAATATATTAGGCTATATGTAAGTTATAAATGAATAATACAATTCAATTAACAAGTTTTAAATTCATTTTTATTTTGCAAATATTTGAAATAATTTATAAATTTCGAAAATAAATTTAAAATTTTGATTTTATGAAAGAACTGAAATGATTTTCATTCATTCATCGATCAATTAAATCAATTTCATATAGATTGACAGTTTCAAGTTTGAATTTGACATATATATATATGTCTATCGATTATCTTATCCATTAACATCATCTCATTCATAGTGTTAAAGTGGCAAATATTATTTTCTGTGTAAAATATTACACAAATTATAATATCGAAAAGAAAGTGAGAGAGAGAGAAAGAGAGAGAGGGAGAGAAAAAAAACGAACAGTAAAAGAAAGCAAAGAATTATTTTTGATTATTTCCATTTATGCATATAATAATATTGTAAAATAAAATGAAAATGAATAAAAAATATAAAAAATTATTTTTAAAATTTTTTAAAGAAATAAATTTCTTTTTTCCTTTTCTTTCATTTTTGTACAGATGATGAGAGGGAAAGAGCGAAGGAGTGGAAGAAAGAGAGAGAGAAGAGGGTAGAAAAAGAAAATAGATTCTAATGATCAATCAATTTGAATTGAATTGAATTAATCAATTACCTCAAAAAAAGGAATGAAATTTTTTTTCCCCAAAATATTTGATGCTTCAATGATAAACTATTCGCAGATAAATGTTCCATTTATTATAATAGCAGATACATATTACAAAGAAAAAAAGATATATGAAAAGGATGGGGAAAAATAATGAAATAATTGCTAAATGAAACGAAATGAGAAGGAAAGAAAAGAAAGTTCTATAAGATTGAATTAAAATTGTCAATCGATTTATATCTATCATTATTGTAGACATGCCAATCAATCAATAAATCAATCAATCAATCAATCGATCAATCAGTTAATCAATTGATCATTTAAGCACTAACATTAAATATTGCACTTATCTAATAATATAATGACCGAATAAAAAATAACGAAATATAAAACTAAATTAGTCAAATTAAAAAAAAAGTTATGCTATTTATTGATTTTAATATATTCTAAATATATAAAATGCAAGAAAAGGTATGCATATTATTGTCTCCTTTTAATGCCCTTGACGACAACGACGATAACCACGACAACCACAACAACGGCGACAACGGCAACGATGATGATACAATGATGCATTTAAAAATCAATAGTGTTCAGCAAAACTTTTCACCAACAATTACGGACACACACACACACACACATACACACACACACATACACATACACACATAAACACACACACACACACACATACAAATATGCACGCACACACATACATACATACATAGGTATGTATGTATGTGTATATACATCAATTCGATAAAAGTTTAAATGTGACAGATAAATAGATGCCGGTAGTTTCTTGTCCATTTAATTTTGAAAATAATATGCGAAAAAGAAATAGAGAAAAGGAATTTAATGGAAATGCATTTCAATGTTGTATGATAATAATAAGAGTGAATAAAATGTTAAATATGAAAAACAATCAATATTAAAATGATAATCTTTGATCTTAATCTAAATACACCTTCCAATGATACTTCAAAACAAACATTTGTTTATGTGTAATAATTCCTACAATATGCAAACAATTAAACTATTAGACTTTTTATCAACCAACATGCATGTGAATTGTACACTTATAATAATGATGATAACAATAATAATAATAATAATAATAATAATAATAATAATAATAATAATAATAATAATAATAATAATAATAATAATAATAAT